CAGGGGCCACCCCCACGGGACCACCTGTCTCAGAACGAAGCCGACGAGGGGCGGGAAGCACGCCAGGCAAGGCAGGTTCTGACACCGCTTCCGCACCTGGACCCCACCTGCCCGGAGCTGGAGACCTACCCCAGCCCTGCAACTCTGAGCCAGCGAGCACACGCCCTCCAGGCCTGGGAGCCTGTCTGAGCTGCACTTCTAGGACCTGCCAATCCCAAAGAGGCCTCTTTCACTAGTTAACACTGACCAGCTTGCTCACTAGGAGAGTTGAAGCTGCACGCAGAGGTTTTCAGTAAGGGACTGGGAAGAGAGGGCTGGGGGGCAGCCGGATCAGGCCTGGGATGGACGGGCCCCCTGGGAAGCTGCCCTGGGATGGATGGACCCCCTGGGATGGATGGCCCCCTGGGAAGCTGCCCTGGGATGGACGGGCCCCCTGGGATGGAAGCTGCCCTCACTCACTCACTCACAGGCTGGCTCCAGGCCGGCAGAGCTGTGACCACGCTCTCCACCTGAAATGTCAGAGAACCGTAATATTTTAAAGCTGGAAAAGACCTGAACCTGTCACCCCCATGGTCTCACTCACAAATGAAGAGACTGAAGCCAAGATTAGAAAAGAAACCCACTCAAGGCCACGGCACTCGTCAGCAGCCGGGCAGAAGGACCGCTGCTGCGGGAGGAGGGCCAGCAAGCCCGGCGCGGGACGCAGAACAGAGCTCTGGTGACAGTAAAATGCACCACATTCCTGTGCTCAGGAGACGCTGATTTCGGGCTCGGCACCGCTGCACACAGGCCGTGGGGCCTGTGCAAAGCCGGTAACCTCTCCTGGCTGTTTCCTCATCTGTGAAGCAGGGACACTGACTGCTGCCCCGCTGACCTTGCGAAGCCCAGCCAGCTAACCAAAGAAGAAATCCCACGAAAACACGGGGACGTGCACTCTGCCAACTGTCAGACACCGTGGCTCGTCTCTAGCAGTCGCTGAGCCGAGAGGCAACAGACGAGAAAGAGCCCAGGCTTTGGGGCCTGACAACTTGGGTTTGAAGCCTGTTCCTACACGTGTCAGCTGGGCTGTCGTCCAAGCTCCTGATGCCTCAGCTCGTCCATTGGGCAAGCGGGATGGACACAGCATCCTTCAACGCTCCTGTGACGGTTAAACGAGACTGCGCACTAAGACGCCTAACACAGCAACTGGCACAGCTAGGTGCTTGGACCAGACATGCGAGTCACCACAAGGCCCCGAGACCGGATGTCCCAGCAGCCAGGCCCCGCTGCAGGGAGCGGCCCAGGTCCCCAGGGCCTGTCAGGACGGCACTCAGCACGGTCACCCTGCACTCCAGGCACACCTCTCACCCTGGCAGGCCCTTTGAAGGCTTCTTCGTCCCCTCTGACTCAAGCTGCAAACCCCACAGGCGGGGCCTTCCTCCCTCCCAGAGACCCCCAGACGGAAACCCCTGACTTCAGGGGGTGCAGCAGAGGGCAGGAGGGCGTGGCCCACACTTACAAATCAGCTCACACCTGAACACACTAGGATAGTGCTGGGAGAAAACAGGTTGGCGTGACCAGGGTGACCTCAGGACCTTTGCCAGCATAGAGATGTCTCCATGGCGGGTGAATTAAAAAAAGGTGCTCCTTCCTTCCAGCCCGTGGCCTGGTGAGGAGAACAGAGGCTGGACTTCAGCCCTAACTCACCCGCTCACTGGGACACCCAGGCCAGGGGACACCACCACCACGACCGCCTGCAGGGGTCCTACACACTTGGGAGGCCGTCAGAGGCTGTGCCTCTGGAGCTGGGGGTGGGAGCATGAACACAAGTCCCGCAGCCAGCTGGACTGGGGAGGGCGGGCCAGGAGATGGAGGGAGGTCCTAAGCCACCATCCAGCTCCACCACAACCAGCCGTGACCTTGGCACAGCACTCAACGTCCTTCTGCATCAGGCCCACGTCTGCCAAGCAGGGGCTGATAGAGGCTGATCAAATGATGCAGCTGCAGGAGGGGAGGAGATAGGGCATTCCCAGCATGCTACCCTGCTCTCAAGACCAGCCTTGGGGCAAAAGGAGAAAGACTGACCGAGGAAAGGGTCAGGCTGTGGACAGGCGACCAGCAGATGAGCCAGGATGCAGCCCGGGCAGAGCCCTCTCCTTCCCCACCTCACAGTCACCCCAGTGTGCATGGCGGAGGCGAGGACATGGACCTGCATCATGGGGTGGCCACGAGGAGGTGAAGGGTGTCTGCGAGGGCCCAGGACCTGCCTGCAGTCAGCAAGTGGTGCCGGTCTTTTTATCCAGAGCCCCACACAAGCCAGTGGGAAGGGAAGAGAGACAATGCCAGAGAAAAGAAGGGGAAACAGATGGCGGTGGGGGCGGCGGGCAGAGCAAACCTGAGCTAACCTCCTGCCACGATTCCGAGGGAGGGCCCCAGGCGCACAGCAGGCTCTCTGAGTGACCACTAATCTCCCACCAAAATCTCGGGTCTGAACCAGAGGAAAGACCCCAGCACCCAGGCCTGTCTAGCCCGAGGTGAGAGTGGCGTTTCTCTGCCATGAGGAGAGTCAGATTCATCAGGGGTGCTGCTGTGACAAGAGAGCCTCTCCTCGGGGATGTACATGACACCATCTCACACCACACACCAAAACAGGTACAGCTAGGAGGAAGAGTCAAATGTAAAGTCTGAGCTGAAAAAGAATGCAAGAAACAAAGGTGCATGTGTATCACAGAGGGAAAGGCTTTTCCAAACAGAAAGCAAAGAAAAAAACAAAAACACTTCGAAAGAAAGACTGTCCAAGCTTATAAAAATTTCCCTTTATGTATGTTAAAAATTACTGTAATAAAAGCAGAAGCAATTGATAAACTGGAAAAACGCCTTCTACACATGTCAGAGAAAACGTTATTGTCTTTTTTTATATGAGAATTTGTACAGTGATTAAAAAAAAAAGGAAGCCTCGACAGAAAAAAGTGGAAAAGTAATTATAATAGCTGTATTTTCAGAGTGCTTACCTTATACAAGCCCTGTGCTGAGCACTTTCAATGAACCACTGCGCTTATACCTCGCGACCCGGAGACACTGCTTCCCAGAGGTGCGAACCGAGGCTTCGGTCGCTCCCTGCCGCACAGCACTCCGGGGCGGAGCAGCGGCACCGAGGCTGGGGGGTCTGCCTGCCTCCCAGCCTGCTCTTAACTACACTCGCTCAAGTCAGGAAGAAACAGTGTGAGTGGTCAGGACAGACGATGCGCCCAGTGTGTGTGTGTTTCACGCACACATGCGTAAGATATACTATTATACCTTATAGTTTTCCCTATCAAACCGCCAAAGATCTCGAACTGACAAAATTCCGTGATGGGAAGCGGTCAAAAAACCGGCATTCCTCCATGCCTGGTGGGTACGCACACTGAACCACCTTTCTGGAGGCCCCTTTGGAAGCCTTTAACAACAGCCTGTGCAAAGATTCACATTCTGTGTGTGAGACACGCCCCACACCCCAGACCCGGTCTCCACCCTTCCCTGCCCTGCCCTTCGCCAGGAGGCTGACCCAGAGAATTCCGCCAACGGACCAAGTCCCTGCTTCCTGACAGGACCCCTGGACAGACGCAGGGAAGGAGAGCGATGGCGATGCTGGCAGGAGACGGGAGGAGAGGGGGGCCAGGTGTCTATGCTCCTGCCTCTTCCCAGTCACCTCACTTTTCACATCAGGACCACCTGCTCCCTGTCCCCCTGTCCTCGCAGGCTCCTTCCCCCGACCCCCTTCTTTGTCCCTTCGGGTGCAGGGGACCTGAGCGCCCGTGGCCACCAGCCCTGGACTCCCCTGTGGTTTGCCCATCCTCCGCCCAGACCTTGGTGAATCCATCGCCATCCGTAAATAAACCCTCCCAGATGGTCTTAGTTTGTGCCTTCTGTTTCTGGGGGGGGATGCTGGTTGACACACCTTCACACCTAGCCATTTTACTCCAGAAATTTATCCCAAAGAAACAATCAGAAAAGCACAAAAACATATAAGGGTGTGTGTGGCAACATTACAACTGGAAACTAAACGTTCAACGGGGAACTGTTTCATACCGAGGAGGACGGTCCAGGTGATGAGATACAACGTAGTCACTGAAACCGGGCTGTCAAAGAACAGCTAGTAGTGGAAATAAATTTAAGACACATCTTCACTGAGAAAATGATTCCAATTTTGCACATGAAAGTGACTAGAAGGATGTGTCCCGAAGTAGCTATTATCTCACAGTTGTGAGATCACGGGCAGCTTTTATTTTCTTCTTTGTACTGTTTCTCGATTTGCTGTATTTTCTACAATTTCCACATAATTACTTTTGTAATTGTTTTGTAATTGAACGTAAATCCAAAATATTACATATTTAAAAAGAAAAACTAGGGCTAAATTCCGTCCCCTACCCCCGACACTTAAAAAGCGCGCCGCACGGCTGCTGGGCAAAGCGGGAAGCCCCACGAGCTCGCGCTGCATCTGGAGTCAGCCCGGCGTGGCTGTGTGAACCTGGAGCCCTGGCCTGGTGTGTGACGGAGGGAAGGGCAGCAGACTGCCGCCTGGGGCTCACAGACCCAAGGAGGGACGCGGATCTGCTGACCCCTGCGAACCTTCAACAGACAGCGAGCACGGAGAAAACACCACCAAAACCCTAGACTGCGGACAGACGCAGGCTTCAGTCAGGACTGAGCACCTCAGCGGTTGTATGACCTCAAACACTTTCACCTCTCCGAGCCTCGGTTTTCTCATGTTTAGAATGGGGTAATATTCCATATCTCACATGCTATAAGCATTATACTGAATTATGGGAGCACAGAATACAGCCACTGAACAGAAATCAATAGGGCCTCCTGGGCCACTGAGCCCCTCAGAGCCCAGGGACTTGGCTTTGAGGTTCAGGTGGAAGCCCCAGGGGAAAGCGGGTGGGGAGACAGGACGGGATGCGAGCAAGGATGTGGCTACCGGGCACGGGGCCAGGCCTCCTCACGGCCCGTCAGTGCACGTCTCAGGAGGGGAGCCCTACCTGCCGTGGGTCCCAGGTCCAGACTAGAGTCATTCAGCTCATCCTCCTCTTCCCAGAAGTACTGTGGCGGCTGCAGGATGCGGGACTCCTCGCTCTCTTCGCTGGGGAAGCCCGAGCCGGGGGCTCCCAGGCCAGCCCCCAGTCCCATGGCCTCGCTGGGCTCCTCGGAGTCCAGTGGCTCCAGGCCAGTGGGCAGCAGGAGGTCCAGCAGGGAGGTGGAGGTGAGGCCCTCGGGGCTGGGCTCATCGGACCCGGCTGCACACGTGCCCAGGGATGCCCCTGCAGACAAGAAAGCTGATGGTCACGAGAGGCCGGAGAGGAAAGCCTCACACAGGGTTAAGACACCAATAACGCCTCCAACAACTGAGAATCCAGGGTGAGGGTGGGGGTGCGGGACACTCCCACCCCTGGGGGCTGCAAAGGGAGCCGCACTGCTAAGCCCACCTTGTGGTGGGGGCAAAGGGAAGGTGGGGTGGGGGCGCTGACTGCATCAGCATCCGGGGCGTCTGTTCACTCAGGAACGTGTCCCGAGTCCCCACCCCCACTGTGCTGTGTTGGGGGCTCAGAGGGCAGTGGAGGAGGGGCCCCACTTCCAAGGACCTCGTGTGGACACTGTTCCCCAGGCTCCTATTCCAGCCTGAACATTCTCCAAAACTGTGTTAAGGATGTGATCAGCAATACAGTCTTTAAAAGACCGTGTGGGGTCACAGGTCAAACTCATCCAGGGTCGGTAACAGCAGGTCTGTTTGGAGCCCTGGATCCCTCTCTCCCAGTTCAAAAAACAAACAAAAACAGTAAATTAAAGGGCATCGTTTTTCCTGCTCTCTCACTCTTACCCATTAAGAAGAGGAAACAGCCCCGTTTGCCAGTTTGACAACGTAGTCACTAATTACACAAATATGACTAACTTGCTATATGTCTTTCAGAAAGTTGCTTAAAACCTCTGGGTCTCAGTCTCCTCAACCAAAAAATGAGGAAGGTGAATGAAATGACCCCCGTATCTTCTTTTCTAAAGCGAACACTCAGTAATACAGGTGTTACTGCCCGCTCTAGCCCGGAGCGCACCGTGATGTGGCGTGACAGCAGGTCACGGAAATTCCTAGAGATGTTTAATTATAAAAATAAGAGGTGACATTACTGGTGCCATGTGCCGAGTGCTCTGTAAGCACCATCTGAATTTTCTTTACAACCACCTCGCCAAGTAGTGAGCCACAAGCTGGGCCAGGCCAGCACAACGCCCAGTCTCTGAGGAAGACAAGGGCGTTACAGATTCAGAAACGAGTCCACCAGGCACCGAGCCTACAGCCAGAGTGGACGGGGTCTCTGCACGCCACGCACCAGCCGGACAACACAGGACCACGGACACGACATCCAGGCATGAGGGAAGTGGTCCAGGTTCAGGGAGAGGGGCTTAACCAACAACTAACAAGTGTGTGGAAGAGGACACGCAGGTCCGGAGAGCAGACACGGAAGGACGAGCCTGGGAGAGCACGCAGTGCCAGGGGACTGCCGTGCGCTCCAGCTCCCCACGCTGCATGGCTCCGGGAAGCGTCTGCACCCGGCGCCTTAGTGTCCTCTCTACAGAGCAAGCCGAGAACGCCCGCGGCCCTCACAGGGGCAGGGCCCAGGCAGGTCAGCTCCACACCGTGGGTACAAACCATACTACAAAGAGCAGGCTGTAGTCTACGAATGTGTCATTATCCTTTATAAAGAACAGAGAACCAGACATTCTTGGCCAGAAAAAGAGAACATTTAAGAGCAACAATGGTCAGGATCTTCAAATACATTAAAACTAAAGGCTGATGTGAACAGTAATGATCAGAGCTCTCCACGTGACTTTGAGGGAAGAGCTAGGACTGCTGGGGAGAAACATGAACAGTATCAGGGCCTTTAACCAGAAGCCGGTCAGGCCTACAGTCCCCCCCACCCCCTGCCCGACCCGCTCCTGCTTCCAGCCTCAGCTCTGAGAACCGCCCCGGCCACTAGTCCAGGATGGGCGCCCTCCCAACACCACAGCCTTCTGGACAAATCACTGCGCCGTAACAGACCATCCTACAGCCTCGCACTGAACAGTGGGCACATGGTCGGTGTGTCCCGTGTCTGACCCACCCTTGTCATTCTGGTGCCTCGGCAGTCTCTGAAACATAACAGGAGCTCAGTAGGTGTTTGGATAAATGAATGAATAAATTAATAAATACCCTTCCATTTTACAGATGAAATAACTGAGGCCTCATGAAATTAAGGCCAAACAACTAGCTAAGAGAACCACTATGATTAGCTGGTGTCTCCCCACAAGAAGGTCTTGCAGATGCTCTGTGAAGAAAGACTGGAAAGCTACCCTTTACGTCCCCTTCTTCTAAAGGATACGTAAGGAAAGACTATCCAAGGCAGCAGATACCTCATGGGGTTTAAGGAGCAAGGAAAGGTGCCAGCGCTGAAGACTAAAGGACATCCGTCCCCTCTAGCCTGCACTCGGGGTCCTCACGCAACACCCAAACCGTACAGCGGCCCCGGCTGCGGGAGTCTCTCCCCCTCCTGCAGAAGACCTCCAGTCAGTAAAGCGGCTCCCTTTGTTTTCACCAAGAATCCCCTTCGTTTGTATTTTCGCATGGACCCTGTGTTTGGAAACATTTCATCTATCAACTAGACTAACGGGAGAGTTATTTTCTAACTTTTAAAAAGCTGATCAGAATCACGTAACAGTGCCCATCAGATACGACGGCAGTGAGACTGACTCTGGTTGCAGGCAGATGCAGCGTCCCACTGGAGGTCGCGTCTGCATTAGGCTTGCTCTGCTCAGAAGAATATGGTCGCCCCCGAGCTCCTATTCTGTGCCACCTACTGGGCCAGGCCCTCTGTGGACACACAAAGATGAACACAAGACAGCCTCTGTCCTCAGGGAAATTACTGCTGCTTGGAAAATGAAGTGCAAGTTTTATACAAGTCACCAGCTGATGTAACAGCTTCCTTTGCAGAACGGAATCCCCAGTGTTGGGGGAAACAAATACTATGAACAAATGAACTGGAAAACTTCATGCAGTCCAGGAAGAAAGTCAACTGATGAGTTCTTGGAACTTTACCCTCCACAAAACCACCGGAGGCTCAAAACCTGAGAGCTCTTTCAGAGCTGAACTGAGGTGTGGAGGCAGGGAGTCACTGCCATCGCAGCCTTGGTCAGGCTGCCCAGGACAGCCCACGAGGAAACCGCCTGCTCCTGTGAGGACAGCCAGGCCAGCAGGCCTGCTGGTTCCCCGCCGCTGGGGAGGAAACACTTCCTAGTGGGTGACACTCCCTGGGCAGAGGACTGTGGCCTGATGCCTTCACTGGGTCTGCTCCCTCCCACCCCCACGACTTAGAGGATGGGGGGTCTCGCCTCAGCCTGTCTCCACCTGCCACCTGTGGAGAAGTCACACTCCCTCCTTGTCCATCTTTCCTAACAGTCTGATAGGAATCAGCAGATTCTGATAATCTTGCTGAAAAGCTGGGTGTGAAAAAGGAAACCTGGTTTTTCTCTCCTTCTGCAGTAAACATTTCCATTTTCTTGAAGTTATTTTTCCTGATGACGATAATTTTTTCTTTATATAGACCTTGGTATTTTCAAAAGTTTCGGCAGTGGGTAATTATTTAGGTAATCACGTGAGGTTACTTATTTTCAAAGGTGCCCACCAAACTAGTAGCTCAGACCTAACATTCTGTGTTTAATTACTTTTGCCCTTAATAATTAATTTTCCTTAATTGAGACCCCATCTGATTTTAAATTTCAGAATTACACTCTGTGATTTTTTTCATCTAGCACCTATCGTTTCCTGTTAGTTCATCGTTCCCAACAGAGAGGAGAGAAAAGAAGGCATATGAGAAGGAATCAGGGATCAGCCTCAAAGAACTGAAAATCTGACCCACACTAACTCAGAGAGAGAGGTGAACAAAGCGGGTTTACATCTGAGGGGGTGAAGAAAGAAGGCCTCTGTAAGCCCAAGGGCCCCCTCCCCTGCGATCTGCTCCTGACCCCAGCATCCTTCTCTGATGTCCACCATCTCTCGCCTGCCCTTCGCCGAACCAGCAGCTCTGAAGTCCGGAGCGCTGAAGCCCTCAACAGACACCCATTCAGGAGCCGCCCTGAGCACCTGTCTCGGCCCACTCTGCCGTGTCGCTCAACAGAATGGTCTCGCGCTGCCGCCGCACCACACTCGTGTGTGTCTGAGAAACGGTGAAGGGTCCCTGCTGGGTGTCCGCACCACATATGGCTGGACACGTGTCACCCAAGCACAGGGGCCATAATGGGCATTGTGGGGAGAGTGCATGGGAGGGAGGAGGCGGGAGGAGTAGCTGGAGTGATGCTGCCCACAGTAATCACGGACAGCCAGGTAAGGGTCAGTGGTAATAGCTGGGCATGGGTTCTGACACACCCTGCTGGCCAGTTCTTGAGTGGCTGTCACACAAAGAAATAGCAGAGGAAGTCGCCTTCTTCCAGAGAGGACTTAAGGCACGCAAGGACAGAGGTGAGGGTGTCCGTCTGAGTCAAACTGACGCCACTTCCCTGTGCACACCACACGGTCCTGACCCATCCCTGGACTGACAGCGGAGGACAGTCCCCTGGCCGAGCTGAGCGCGGGACAAGCTCAGGGTGAGGGACCCAGGGAGGGACCACCATCCAGCAGAGCCTGCCCCCCCACCCAGGCGGACACCTCCACTCACACATGGGTGACAGGCCCGCGCCTCTGCAGGCTGACCGCACAGGAACTGCCCCAGGCCGAGTCCCGCGCACACGG